TAATCATGATGAGGTCACCCCTTAGTTTTGAGTCAGTTGGTAGTACAACTCTACCATTCTTCCTTCTAGTACATTTGTCCCTGAACCATTCTCTCATCTGTTTTTCAAATAGCTCTCCTGTTTGAGGATCCTTTTTGAGTTCCTTAATCTCAGCACACAACTTGTGATACAGAAACTTCCCTCTGGAGCCCACCTGTCTCTCCTACCGCTTCTTACATCACAGAATCTCTTCTGTTCCAACTTATCTGACCTGTCTTTCTTTCTCAGGAGGGAGGATTCCTACACATGAATTTCATGATTGTAAAGCATTAGGAGTGTGAATTCCTCATCCTCCATGCTGAAAATCTTACTGAGCAAATGCTCTGCCCCTTCGGTATTTCTGTTGAAATTGTTATTGTCTGCACTACCATGGTATGCCCTACAGAGTAGATGTAGAATCTTCTTCCCTTCATCCTTCATGTCTCAATCAGAAATGCCCATCATTCCTGGAAATCTGGCTGGGATGTTTCCATTTTCACTATCATCTGTTATGGATCAAGAAAGGAAAATGGACATTTCCATGGTTAGACTGATATTGGTGAAGCTGGTCCATCAGCAGACAATTCTTCTAATGGTACACACCAAGCCAATTTTTCTTGCATTACTCTGAGTGTTGTGTGCTATTTTTTTCACCAGCACTTGTGGTAGCAGGGTGTTTTCCAAGTAGAAACAAAGTTTGTCATTACCACCAATCCCTGACAGCTACTGACACAACCTTCCATGATTGCCTGTTGGCACACATATTTATTGATCTTATTGCTCATCAAAAATTTCATGTCCTGAAAAACTTGGATTCAAAGTAACCTTGAAAATTTCTTGTGAGCAACTGCTTGTTCAATTCTGATATTTTCTCCCCAGGGACCACCACAACCATAAGTGTACCTTGTGTGGTTCCTGGTGCTGTTAAACCAAGACCTGTTTTTACCTTCTTCAACTCCCTTAAATCCTCTCTGTTTCTTTTTCCATCAATCATATTGGCATTTGTGTCACAAACCTTATTTCCATCATCAGCACACCTGCCAGTGCTCGTGCTCTTCAGCCTGTTACTAGTAGAGCTCCCTGGCACCTTCTTGGTTCCTGTCTGGTTATTTACCTCATTAGGTTCTATATCCAAACCCTATCTTTCAGTTGCACTGACCTGGTTTGTTTCCAGTGGTTGTTGTTGGTGATGATTGTTTATGAGTCATTGTGTTTACCATGTATGTTCTTTCCCCCCTATATTTATGTTTTGAGACTACATTTAGATTTCTTCAAGAAATCTACTTAGTTGATACTTAGTAATGGATTGTACTGCCCAGTGCAACATTCAAAGTAGTTTGTATTGTCTGGAGTATACATGGTCTTCTGACTGTCTTGCTGATGCAAGCCAGTGTTGTGATCCCAGGATGGTGAGGTCATTAAGGGGTCCTATTCTTCATCATCACTGTCCTCAGGCCCTGGAGAATAAGGGGGATCCACAGCATTGTCATCCCCGCCTTCTCCTGTGTCAGAAGGAACATCCTCCTGAGTAATCAAAGCTTGGCTTTTGTGGCATTGAACAACTTCTGTAAAATGAGTATTTCTCACAAAGGAAGAATGTGTACATATATCAGAAAAGCAAAGAGTAGGGAAAAACTGCTCCAGGTTTGCATGTATAGCAAATTGTTCATCACTACATCTCACCCCATTCCCAGTAAGGATCTGCTTTTTCCCAACCCCACGTCCTTGAAATGGGGCAACAAAAAATGTTCCTTAAAACTGCATTGTTGATGTCTTCTGGATTCAATTTGGAGTGTACAAGAGGATCCAGCATAAATGTTGAAGAATTTTGAGAAACTCTGGACCATGGGGTTGGTGATGTCAAGCTTCTGATGCTTTGAGAGAGGTAAATTTTTGAAGCCTTGGGAAAGGAAGATGTTGATTCTGGTTTTGGTACCGTTGGTATCAAATGATGAAGCTTATCACCATTCATAGACTTAAGAACATCATCATCAGAAGAAGGAGTACAAAACCAGTGATTGTTCATTGTTTTCTTCATCTCTGAGACTTGGCAAACAAMATGTTTGAAGGCATTTTCTGCGTCAGTTGACAAAACAGTGGAAGAATTATACATGCCAGCTACTTGGTTCATGTTGAGATTCTTCAGAAAAAAAGAGATTCAACACATTCCAACACAGGTGATGCTGCATCAAGTGACTTATAGTATCATGTGTTATTACAGACAGCACCATGTTGAAGTGAGATAGACATGTCTGGCATCAATTACTTGTACCACTTTCTTAGGTGATCAGCAGTGTCCATAGAACTTGACACGGAGAACTTGTTCAAATATGACACAACATAAGAATACTTGGGTACTTTTTTTGGAAATGTTACCAACAACAGCCTCTTTGGTGCAGGAAAAGACATCATGGAATGCTTCCATTGTTTCCAATGACTTCTTCAACACATGTTCATGGCATTGGGAGACAAGTACCAGTCAGAGACCATATCAGAGTAAACAGACTTGTTTGTATAAATCAATTTGGCCACAGCATTTGGAGCACCAACCGTACAAGAACTTGGCATCTTGGTTTGATCCTTGGGTTTTGGTTCAGGAGGAAATGAATGATTGTTGATGTTGGGATATAAATGCAATAATGTACTTCAACAGCACTATTTATGTCATTATCTGGGGTAAGATTTGATGCATTTAGTTCCTTAATGCACGGCTATATCAATCTGAGAATCCATGATCAACCCAACTATTCTGTAATAAAATACGCCATCTTCCATGGCGGCAAGAGATGTATATTGATAGGGATATCCATGCAAATATTGACAATCAGGATTGTGATCAGTTACTTGTTACTGGTTTTCAGTTGTGGTTTTGATTTTGTTTTGGTTTCTGTTTCTGTTTCTGTTTCTGTTTCTGTTTCTGTTTCATTTCCATTTCCAACAATTCATGAAAAGCAAATAGTCATGGTACAGGTTGTTTGTGGGAACTACTACTTGGGTGGTGCAACAGATGAAAATGGAAAGTAAAAAGTTGGAATGTTTCATCATCTGGGATTTCAAATATTTGGGTATAAAAAAAGTTAGACACTGTAACAACCTATTGACCTATAGCATTGCCCAGGATCTAGTTCACAACCTGCCATGATTTCAGTTAGAGGAAACACAACCGATGTGACTGTGACATTAATACTGTGCATGGAGCGTGTGAAAAACAAAAAGGGGGTATGGAGTCAAAAAAAAAGGATGCTATGAGATGTGATACATTACAATCACTTTTTGTGACGTACTACTGTGATGGCAGTTATTATACATAAACTGTTAGAGTTGTCCAAATGCAGAAACAATCATTGCAGCACAGACAGAAAAAGAACAAGAACATCATGGAGGCATGGACAATTTTGTGTTGCCTGATGGAATGCAAGAACAAGAATTACTGGTGCAATACCAGTGCTACTAT